GCTTGCCAGTGACCAAAGGAGCCACAGTGCCATTTACAGGAGGGGCCGCCCACCTTTGGCCAGTTCAGAAAACCCTCCCCTCGCGAGCCGCACTGCGAAGGGCGTGAGATTTACTCTAATGCAGGGCCCACTGCACGAGCCCGGCAGGAAACGGTGTGAAGGGTGTTCCACAAGGTTTAAAAGTAAACGGCTCGAGGGTAACACGAGAGACCTCAGCTCTAGAGATGTTAGACTCATGTGTTCTTCTACATTCTTTAAGGAAAAAAAGGGCAGAGTTGGATTAGGTTATTTTAAAGCTTACTTTCAGCTTTAAAATGACTGATGTTAATGTACTGCTATTAGGAGGACTTTATTTCAGTTGAGAGTTTATCTCAGAATCCCAATTCCCAGGCTTATTCTCAGTCCCCACATCCCACTGCCTGTTAATATCATGTTCATTTAAAGCTTGAGAGAAAAGCCCCAGGACACCTTTAACATTTCTGTCTTTATCAAATACACCGTTCAAAAGAGAAGTCGGTAAATGGCACTGACCTTATGGTTAATGGGAAGTTAAAGCTTGACAAATATTCTACCATGTTACATCTATTTCCAGAATCATACAGGTATATATGTAACCAGATGACCACAGATAATAATAGTGAGACCTAGATTTGGGGAAATCCCAACCTCATACAGTTTCTAAATTGTTACAATGGGGGCCCTAGGGAGTGGACATTTCCAATACCAGTCATCGAGGGAAGAGATGAATTCTAGGGCAGAAGTCTTAGGCTCTGAGATGCGACAAGGCCTGGAGTGATTTCTGTGCTGGAAGGGAGCTGGCTGTCAGATAAAGATACTGTGCCTGCGCTGTTGGTGGTGGTGGTGCCATTGACCACAGGGCAGAGAAGTAGCCGGCTCTGGAGCGGCAGGATAAAGGGTGGCACTGTGACGCCTTCCACAAAACTGAACCTGAACTTGAGTAGGACATGAGAAAAGCCAAGTCTCCTCCCCAAATGGGAACGGGGCACAGCATCACCTGCTCTGTGGGGGCTGCTGACTTCACGAGAGCCATCAACTGCGAAGGCAGCGGGGTGGCGGTCTCAGCAGGAGGCCTGGGGGCTCTGTGCCCATGTGCACACGGGGCAGCACAGCAGCAATCCCACAGAGAGGGGGCAGGGCGGCCTTGAGAGGGCTCTGCTTCCCGCCTTTATGGCTCTGAACCTTGTGTCATAATAACTGGGTAAAAGCAACAAACAAATACGGAGAAATAAAGATCAGGAAGGAAATTGGCCATAAAATGAACTACAAAGAACATTCAGGTTTACGTAGAATTTGAGATGCAAGTACATTTAACCATGTGGGGTGGAGGGGAAAGCAGGCATGACCAAAAAGCAGAACAAAAACCAAACGTACGGAAGGAGAAAAAGAAGAACTGCTTCACGCCAGTGGGTGCCCGTCATCCGTAATGGACATCAGGCGTCTAGTTCTTTGCTAACGTTGGGCCACACCAGCATGTTTTGTTTTGCAAACCCCTGGAAGAAAGGAACAGCCCTTGGGTTATTGTGAGGAAAGGGCCTGAAGAGCAGAACAAGCTCTCCTAGGACCTCACATCACTCCCCAGATTATAATGACCGAGAAACCCAGGGGAGTGAGCGCACAGGCCTCCCACACTTGAAAGTGAGTCTGTCCGTGGAGTCATCGGTGGGTGGCAGCTGCCCCAAGGAATGAAGTGCATGGAAGCCTTGTGGATTAAAAGGCAGAACAGCAACAAAAAAGAATGGTGTGGATGCATGTAAATATGTAGTAATAAGGGTTCTTGAACTTTATGAAAATGTCTTAGGTCCATAAATCTTTTCTCCACTGACGTGGTTACTGGTCAATAGGAATAGATGAGTTTCTGGTGCCTTACCTCATCTTCTCCTTCCCTCTCCATATCTCTGCAAGAATTGTTTTTAGAATGGGTGACAGCAGTCCCTTCCCTTAAAGGCACTGTGAATAACTCGGGATTGTGGCAATCATGATGCCCATTGCTCCAGCCAAAGCTCTCTCTACTTTCTGTTTGCCAAGAAGAGGTAAGACCACCTGGAGTAGGAAAGAAAGGGCAATTGTCAGCAAAAAGCTAATGTAACTCCATTTTATTGACTCAAGCCAATGACTGTTACGTCGGTAAAATGGAAATCACTGTTCTGAAATAGAGTAATGGGATTTTAGAGGCAGAGGTGCCCTATAGATAAGCTACTCCAATGCATCATTTTATAGATAAGAAAAGTAAGAGCAGAGAAACCTTCCCAAGCACATGTGACTGGTTAATGGCAAAGCTAGGACCAGAGCTCAAGTCAGCTTTTCTTGCGAGATTTAGAAAACATTCAGATAAACAGACTGTTAAGGACCATAATGCATGAACTTATAACACAGTTGGAGGAACTACAGTTTTTTAACCTAAAAAGGGGATGATTCAGGGACATAGCGACTATTTGCAAATACACGAAGGGCTGGCAAGTAGGAAAGGGGCTTGAACTTGTTCTGTGGGCCGGAGGAAACCAGAATGATCGTGGGGAAGTTAGAAAGATTTTAGCAGTTGAGAAAAAGATAAAACCACTTAAATAGTCAAAATTTGCCTAAACAATTTGTTGAGGGACGAGCAAGCTGTCGCCTGAGGCATCTCAGAAAAAACTGGAAGGCAATGTAGTGTGTGTTTCCTTCCACGGAGAGGCATGGAGTGAGGGGCATGGAGGAGAGAACTCAGGCGTGAAAGTCATTAGGATGCGGTGACCTTTCTGAGTATGTGATTCTTTACAACCAGGGACCAAATAAGGGTTTCATTCTTGCCTCCAAACTCTAAAACCTATCTTCCCATCTGTTTGCAATAGTTTAAATTTTAATCTATTTCCTATTTCAGGGTATTATGCCCTGAATATCTGATTTGAATGCTGTGCCAGAAGGTTACTCGTATTCATTTATTTTCTTTTATTCTTATACACTTGCAGTGAGTCTTTTGAATCCATTATGCAAACACATGCAAATCATATGCAAATGCTGTGGCCTCAGAAAATGACAAAACCTTAACTGAGCCATCAAACCTTTCTCTAAGAGGGAAAGTAATGTGCCTTCTCCATGTCTCTGGGGCAGGAGAGGATTTCCTGAGACTGATATTTACATGACATTGGAGGTGGTTTCTCAGGGATCTTTTCCCACATTCTCCAGATTTATGTAGGGCTTTAAGGTTAAGAAAGCACTGCCATGCAAACTACCTCATTTGATTCTCATAACCACCCTGTGATGTCAGCAGAACAGGAAGTGGAAATCCTGTCCTATTTTTCAGGTGGGAAATAGAGAAGTGACTGGACTTGCCCAAGGCCTCACAGTTGAAGAGTGATGGATCCGGGCCTCCTTCCAGCCCAGACCCCTCCTGCTACCCCGCCGTGCACGCCTTCCCTGAAGCAACGTGCTTGTCATGGTCTTGGTGTGCTTAGACTGTGTTTTGCCAAAAGCATCTTTGGATGTGTTTTGCTGTTGAGGATGGAATTTTAGGGGTGACCAGAGAAGTCTAAATATTTGTAGTAGCCCCGGCACAGTGCCAAGTATAGTTTCTGCCTGCTCTGCTTTGCAGCATCTGCTCTGAAATCTCCGGATGAGAGCTTTCTTTACCCCATCCACTCTTCGGCTCCCTCGGGAGGCAAAATTCTTTCTTAAACTATGGAGACTAAAAGCAGTCTCTGCAGTGAGACCGGATCCCTAATCCTCCACTTTCTCGTTGGGCTTGGAAAGGTCATTTCATTTCTCTACGCATCCATTTCTCCATCTATAAAATGGGATAAATAATAACACCCCTTTGATAGAATATGTGATAAGGAGATATACAAGGAAAAAAACCACTCCTGCCTGCCCAGTGACGGGCACATAGTAAGTGCTCAATAAATGGTAGCTGCTGTAATTGTTGCATTGGCGTCAGTAACACAGTAGTGGTAGTATTAGTAGTAGCATCTTAAGTCTCTGTGGCTCTGATGCTAGCAATTGGGCTCTTGGAAATGGAATAGGAGAAGTGTGATGCTTAATATCTCCCACATGCCAGTGGGTCAGAGAGAAGACGAGGTGTGCGGTAGCTAAGTTCAGCCCGGTGAGAAATGCTTGAACTTGCACTTTCTTTAATCATTACCACATCCAGCACCATGATGAGCGTATCTGCAATCCTGCTTCAAAGCTGTTTCTAAGGAGAAATTGAGCCAGGGCCGACATCCTCAGCTCTGCTCCCTCTCAGCCTGCCTGCTCTGTGTACAGCAGCGTCCTCTACTGGGTAGGTCAGGAAGGAACAAGAGGGGATTCCACCACCACTGCTTAGCAGGTCCGAATCACCAGGTTCAGGGATGGATCTGTCCTCCCCTGTACCAAGGCCAGAGGGGGGAATTGACGAGGTCACCAAGGCAGCAGCGGAGGTGCAAGGTGTAGCAACATTCGTTTTCTAGGGTGACCTGTTCCCTCTTGCTCCAGTTCCCAGCTCCAGCAGCACCATGGCTGGGCTCAGTCCTTCCATCCGGGCCCACAGAGTGCCCTGCCCTTTCAGCCCCTCTCCTGGTCACTCACCCAGGACAACCACACAGTGGCCTCCTTCGTGAGGACAGCTTCCTGCTGCCACAGCCTCTCTCGAGAAAGGGACCAGAGCTGTTGGAGTCGACCAAACCCTTGCAGGTAGCCTAAAGTCAGCAGACACCATCACACCGAGAGTTAGTGACCAGCATGAGAGGGCTGCAAGAATGATTCGTGTTTGCCAGGAAACACACTAGACCATTCTGGGGCTGGGTTCTCAGCTATTTTCAGCAAGAGCGGGTGGTATGTAAAGGGACTTCCCCTTTTTTGCAGCACAGAGCCACCAATGCTGGGCAGTCTGAACATTTCTTGTTTGGAGATTGCCCTTCTGAACATCTCTCTGGCTGCCGAGTTTCTGAGGCCATTATAGCCCGATTTGATTTCTCAGCTCCAGGCATTAAGTAAACCCACCAAGCTGGGGTGGCGCCGGTCCCGTGATGGCTCCCCCTGTCAGCTGCTTTCTGCTGGCACTGCTGCTTTCTGCCAGCTGTAAAGTCGTCACCTCCTTGGATCCGATGTGCATCGAGGTGAGTCCATACTTTCTGTCTTTATCCAGATTAAGCTGCCTGGAAGTGTTGAGAGTCAGCCTGCAGCCCCATCTGAGCCCTAGTATCCCAATGTCCACTGTTCTGAAAGGGCAATGAGGTGTGTAGAAGTTTTTAATTGTGCAGAAGGAGCCAAGCACTCAACCAGGGGATAGTCAGGCAGATCCTTAGTAGGAAGAAGTGAGAGTTTCCCTCCTCTGCAGACAATGCCCCCAAAATAACCCTAATTGGGACATGAAATATCAGCAGGGTCCCAGCCCAAAGAACAGACTGCAAACTGCTTCCAGCACGGAGGAGCTGTTTGCCCAACATCCCAGCACATGGCCACTTCCCCAAACAGGCCTTTGGTTTCCTGGCTGTTGGGGCAGGGATTAGTAAAGACAACCTGTGCCAGGTTTCAGAGCATAGAAAGATCACTCTGAGTGAGTCTGGCATTCTCCTCGAGTTGGGCAGCCCTCCATCTGTTTTCCTAACCCACAGGAGTGACATCGGAGAACAGAGCCAAATGGTACCTTCTGTTTTAGACCATAATGATATTTATCAACCTGTGGGAAATTCTTGGAGGTGGTGGGAGAGAGCAGGTAGGGCCTCAGTCTCTTGCCATCTTCTAAAATGCTTCAACCTTCCTCCCACTGCCTCTGACCCCAGCAGGTGTACAGCACCATGTGGCCTGTTGGACAAGGGCTGGGGGCAGGAAGGATCATCAGGCTTGCTGGCCAGGTGGGCAGCTTTCCTAGGCTGGGGCTAAAAGCAGAAGTGGAGGCAGAAGCAGCATGATGCAGAAGGGTGGTTGTTGGCAGAACAGGGGAAAGACCTGCCAGGCAAGAGCGAGAATCCCAGCCAGGACTGGGACAAGCCTGGGAGCAGGAAGGAACGGCCTTACTAGTCTAGTATTAGGATGAAATCAGGGCGTGCTAAGACTAAGAGAAGGCACAAAGCCCAGGGGAGATGAAGGCTGGGAAGTGGGTGACTTTGTTCGAGCTGCCATAGCAAAGTACCATAGATGGGTGACTTAAACAAAAGAATCTCATTTTCTCACAGTTCCGGAAGCAATAACCCAAGATCAAGGGGTGGCAGGACTGGTTTCTCTCTCCTAGATTGTCGATGTCCCTCCACACTGTCTTCCTCTCTACATGTCTGTCTCCAAGTTTATTCTTTTTATAAAAACAGCAGTCATGTTGGATTAGGGCCCACCTTAACGATCTCATCTTAATTTAATTACCTATTGAAAGACTCTCGATCCAAATAAAGTCACATTCTGAGGGACCTGGTTAGGAATTCAACATATGAATTTGGTTGAGTGGCGGGTGGGGTATAATTCATCCCATAACAGAAGGAAGTGAGTAAGATGTTTCTATCAGCCCCAGAAGGCTGTCTCCTCCTCATTTAGGTTGGATGGTCAATGTCACACAGACATGGAGGTGGCAAGATAAGAGGACAGGAAGGGGACACCACTTCCTCAGTGATCAGGTCACTATGCCATCCACCTCTGACAACATCCTCACATAGGCTAATATCACCATTACATTCCAGCCCATTGGGAAGCAGATTATTTTAAATGCCACACTCTTAAGCCAACCCATTCAACTCTTAAGTCCCCAATTCCTGCAGAGCCTCATCAGCCCTTCCAAAGCCCACAAGAGAGTCCTGGGAGATTTGCAAAGCCCATGGAAACACTGGACCAGTCTAGCTTCCTATTGAGGACAGCAGGCCCTGGAGCTGCCAGTTCCTTCCAGCTTTGGCAGAGGGAAGGGAAAGAGGCAAGGAGAGCACCCTAGACCTCTTGCTGCCTGCTGCAGGGCCTGCTGAGATGTTCAGGTGGCAAGAGCAGTGCTGAAGGTCCCAGGATCTCCAGGCCTGGACCTATGGTGCAGCAGGAACTTTCCTTTTTGGCTAAGTTTGCATTGAAACCTTCCAATACAACAACCCCTGTACAGCCCTCCCTCTGAAAGAGCTCAGATTTTAAATGCCCTGGGACCTATTCAATTAACATTGGATCTACATCTTCCTGGACCTCCTTTATCATGTATGAGTTCTTGGCTGCAGGATTCTAAGGCCGTGTATTGAGCCTTACCCTGTGTGAGTACTGGGGAGGTGGCTGGGGGGTACAAAGGTGGATGAGAGTTGTTCCTGAAGGCAAGGCACTTCCAGGCTGCAGGCAAGTGGGATAAGAGTGGGAATGGTGGGGGGGAAGCTCTGACTTAAGGGTCTGGCCCGTCTTCAAGCGCAAACCATCCAGTTAGTCTCCCCCTCCCCCTGCTTTCCTTTCCCCTTTAGTTCTTCCCTCCAGCTTACCCATAGCCAACCACGCAATGAATAAGCTGTTCGTGTGACCACCAGGAGCTCGTCAAGGCTCCACCCTAACAACAAGAGTTGGTTTTGCTTTGTTTTCAGTTTAGTAACCTAAACCTTTTACTGAAGTACAACATAACTGTAGAAAAGTTCACCAAGCCTAAGCATACAGTTCAATGAGTTTTCACTAAGTAAATACACCTATGCGATCAGCACACAGATCAAGAAGTAGAACTTCCTCAGCGCCCTGGAGCCCCTTCCCACCTCCTCCCAGTCACTAGCCCCCGGGGACACCCAGTTCTCTCACTTCCATCACCACAGATCCATTTCGCCTCCCTTTGAATTTTATATACAGGAGACTCTAATAATGTGTGCTCCTTTGTGTCTGGCCGTCTTTGCTCAGCATTAAATATCGGAGGTGCACTGATGCTGTGAAACTGCCGTTTGTCCGTTTTCATTACTGAGTGGTATTCTGTTGGGCGAGTGAGCCACCACCTATTATCTCTTCTGCTGCTGATGGGCCTTTGCACTGATTTCCATTTTTTTGGCTATCATGAATGCTGCTGCTTTGTAATTCTTATCTATGTCTTTCGTAAGCAAATGTAGAAATCTTTACTATGTGCCTGCCAGGGAGTGGATGCATTTAGTCTTAGGGTATGCACATGTTTAACTTTAGCAGATATTGCCAGTTTCCAAATTTTTGGTACACATTTCTGTTCATCAGCAATGTATGTGAGTTCTGTTTTCCTCACAGTCTCACTAATATTTGCTATTGTTTGTTTGCGAAATCCATTCTGTTGGGTAGATAGTGGTATTTCACTGGGATTTAATTTTATTTTCCTGATGAATAATGAAATTGAGCACATTTTCATGTTTTTGTTGGCATTTGCATACCCTTGTGTGTGTGAAGTGCCTTCCAAGCCCTTTGCCCGTATTGAGTGTCTGTCTTTTTTATTGAGTTGTAAGAGGTTTTTTTTATGTACCGTGGATATAAGTCCTTAATCATTTTGCAAATATCTTCTCTCACTTTGTGGCTTCTCTCACTTTCTACCTTCCTAGTGATACCTTTTTTTATGTTTACCAGCTTATTATAAAAGACATTTTAAAGGGTGCAGATGAAGAGATACATAGAACTGGGTCCAGAAGGGTCTCAAGAGCAGGAGCTTCTGTTCCTATGGAACTGGGGTGCCCCACCCTCCTGCCACCCGGATGAACTTACTAACCCTGAAGGACTGTGCCTGCTTGTGAATGTTTTGTTTTATTTGCAGAGAGTAATTGTTACTCTGGGATTTGGAAGCTCATCAAATTCTCCTTTATCAAGAGTTCTTTTTAAAAAATTGAATGTATTGGGGTGACATTGGTTAATAAAATTATATAGGTTTCAGGTCCCTAGTGATATCTCCTGATGAGCAGAAGTCCTTAATTTTAATGTAGCTGGACTGATCATTAGTGCTTTACTTTCAGTGCATTTCTGTCCTGCTTAGGAATTTTTTTGCCTACTCAAGGCCATAAAGATATTATCCTGTTTTCTTCTAGAAGTTTTATGGTTTTGTATTTACTTCTATTTCTAGGTTTCACATTTAGATCTAGAGCCCATCTGGAATTACTCTTTGCATATAAGTGAGATAGGAATTGAGGTGAATTTTTTAATAAAAGTTTTTGTTTGAAAATATTTCAAACTTAGACAAGCTGTAGAAATAATACAATGAACACCCATCGACACTCCATGTAGACTCTTCCATTGCTAAATACATTTTCTTTCTGTGTGTGTGTGTGTGTGTATACAATTACTAATAAAATTAGACCTACGACTAAGTCTTTGGAGGCTGACAAATATGTAAAGCATAGCAGGAAATCAGTGGTAACCTTTTAGATGTGCTCTTGAATAATTACTTGGGAGTGCAGGCATGCCTCCCCATTTCAAATGGGCTCACCTATTCTGTACACTCAAAACCACGGTAGGAGACAGTCCTTCAATTCTAGGTATGGAAAGATAGGAGGGGTGCTCAATAGAGCTTCTTTTTAGGAGAACCCCAAGTTCATGGATACAAGGGCTTCCTAATAGCTCCAGACAATGCCACAATGCTGTGATGATCCAGTGAAGTACTAGCTCCTCCTGGGAGTACTTGACATACAATATCCAATTAATCCTCAGAGTTGGCCTGAAAAGAGGGGCTATTGTCTGCCATTTACAGGTAGAGGAAAAGGGGGCTCAGAGAACACAGCTTGGGATTTGAACTCAAGCAGTCTGACTGTAAACAGAAAATGAATTGTGCATAATTGGAAAGCCCTTTGCCCAGAGGAATCAGATTGACAACCAAGTTTTAGGACTGTGCCCTCTTGGGAATGATTTGTTTTATTTACAGAGAGTAATTGCTACTCTGGGAATTGGCTCAAATTGCTATCTGTGGATAAAGGAGTGATCAACGGGGCGAGCTGGGGTTCAGCCTCCCAGGCCTCTTGTGCATCGGGGGGGGGGG